ATCAAAAACTGTATTTTTTTGTAATCAATTTTGTCCCGTTCACGGCTTGGCTGATGTGTGGGATTTTAAAATCTCATCTCACAACTTTCTCTAACTAACCCCCGATTTTATTTGTATAGAGTTGATTTATTAATATTATAAATACGCTTTAATAAGAAATGCCACACTCTCTGGGATTAAAACGAGTGTGCTAATTTAGCCAGATTTTTTCCGTGAACGGACTGACTGGTAAAGGGATTTTCTGTTTTCCGACAACATTGAAAGCAGCYGAAATAGTCTCCTCCTCCTCCTCCTCTGTCTGCTGCTGCAGTGCAGTCTGAGCGGGAAGTTCAAATGCTCGTCTCTTTGGGAGGAAATTTGTTAAATTTTACAGCTCTTTTTCGACTTAAATAGCATTTTAAACTATTTTAAAGTGGTGAGTTTGAGTGTACACATTTTGATTTCATTTATAACGATATTCAGGAGTGGTAAATAACCATTATAGGCGAGTGTGAACCCAGTTTCTATGTGCGGACATTGGTCGTCATCTTTTTTGAGGGGCCAAAGTTTTGTTTATTTTAACGTTAAGTATATTTTATGGTGATTCAATTCATTTTTAAGGGTTAGAATATATGTCATCTGTGTTTAGGACTACAGGAGTCATGAGCAGCGAGGAGAGCAGCGTGCCTGCACCATCCAGGAGTTTTGGACAGGTAGGTGCATTATTTATAACACAGGTGTGGAACTCCGGTCCTCGAGGCCCGCTGTCCTGCATATTTTCCTGTTTTCAAACACCTGATTTGCATAAATGGATGATTAACAGCCTTCTACAGGATTTAATGAGTTAACTGAAGCACTGAATCAGGTGTGTTGAAGCAAAGAAACAAGGAAAGCATGCAGGAAAGCGACCCTGGAGGACCTGAGTTTGACACCCCTGATGTATAATATATAAACTCATTCATTTAGACAGGTTTAAGTCACAGCTGTTTGGTCGTAAACGTATGGAGGGAGTTGTTTTATTAAGAGAGAAAGAGAAGTGTTTGTCTGGTTGTTGTTGGTCTGAATGCAACTACCACCACAAAAACAAAACAAAACAAAAAATTAGATTAATGTGCAGAGGGCTGATTCCTGCATTTTCTAGTAAAATAAAGCAAATTGTAGCGATTAGCATTTCTGTTTTTCCTGCAACATGAGGTGATCATTTCTGACATTCAGACTAACTGTGAACCCTGCATTTCATATGTTTTTTTATAAGTTTTGTGTTAAAGTTAGGGAAGACTCCATTTTTTTTAAATCTGAGTTTAAAGTCAAACTTGTACTGGATTTTGCTTCTCAACACCCAGTGAGTGATATATGGAGATGGCTGAAAAAGAAACAAAACGGGTTTCCAAGTACTTCAAGCCAACCGTCCAGAAAAACGGGGAGTCTCGTAAAGAGGTGAAGAAAAAGAAAGTCAAAGAAGGATGTCCTGAGTAATCCAGGTAGAAAAAAAAMTTAAGTATGTCCGCTGGACGGGTTCTTCTTTTAATGAAATATTTTCATCTCTCCTCCAAGAGACGTTGTCAGCCAAGGAAGGAGGAAAGTTTCAGGAGTGATTTGTGGTAGACTTGGTAATAAAGAGGCCAGGCTGAGATGATTTGGACACGTCCAGAGGAGGGACATCAGAGATGTATCTGCCAGGARAAAGATAAAGAGGTGTTTTATGGATGCAGTTAGTGAGGAGATGGTAGTTTGATGGAGGACAGAGTGACATAAACGAGGATGACACAGTGACCTCTGAAGAGGAAACAGACAAAAGAAGCTGCTTAAAACAAATACAGCTTTCAGTGGGACATTTTAGACACTAGCACAAACAAGAGGAAACGTTGCTGCAGCTAGTGCGTTCTTCTGAAACTGAAGAACAGGCAGTRCTGATGTTTAACACACTGACTGCACTTAGGAAAGCTGTATTCAGATAAAACACTGTAACCTGCACAGTCTGTTGGTGTTCGTTTAGTTTCTGTTGTCGTTTGTGCCTAACTGTGTGGGCCTTTGTTCAGTGCACCTACACAGCTGAGGAGTACCAGGCAGTGCAACGAGCCCTGCAGCAGAGGCTGGGACCCGAGTACATCAGCACCCGAGTGGCCGGAGGAGGACAAAAAGCAAGTCTTTGTTTTAGATCGTTCACTTTGGGACACGCATTCAAACCCCACACCCAGAGCTCCGCTCTGCGTGCAGAACAAATACAAACYGCTGCAGTATTATAAATGAACCCCGCTGATCCGGTTTAAACAGGTGTGTTACATCGAAGGTCACCGCGTCATCAGCCTGGCCAACGAGATGTTTGGATACAACGGATGGTCGCACTCCATTTCCCAGCAGAAYGTCGGTACGACTTGTTTGTACGATCAGAAACGGGTGAAATGACAAAATACGAGTTATGAAAAAGTCCACCTAATTCTGAGCGTTTTCAGACTTTGTGGACCTCATCAACGGGAAGTTTTACGTCGGCGTCAGCGCCTTCATTAAAGTGCAGCTGAAGGTTAGTGGAGCTCTCGTTATTTTTATTATTTGTTGTTTTTCCACGAGTTAGTGTAAATGGTGTTTTTTCCCTCCAGGACGGCTCGTTTCATGAGGATGTGGGTTACGGGGTCAGCGAGGGGCTGAGGTCCAAAGCTCTGTCTCTGGAAAAGGCGAGAAAGGAAGCGGTCACAGACGGCATGAAGAGAGCACTGAAGTAAGGACACTTATGTTTATATKTATTTATTTTTGCTCAGTTTTGTGCAGGAGATCTAATGTTTTAAATGTTTTTGCCGTGTTGAGGTGTTTCGGTAACGCTCTTGGAAACTGCATACTGGATAAAGAGTACCTCCTCGCCATCAACAAGATCCCCAAACAGGTCAGAAACAAGGTATCAGTTAGAGATTTGTTTAAATGTCATGAACTAAACCCACTCTCCTCTTCTACACAAAGCGTCCACCTCCTCTGGACCCGGGTCAGACTAAACGATCTGAGGGACAGCCGTCGGTGGAGAAGGCCCGGTTCTGCAGTCTGGCCCGAGACGAAAACACGGTTTCTACAGCTGGACCTGCCAGGGTGCTGCTGGAGTCCCGAGCGTTCAACCACTCAGAGGTCCACACTCCCGGCGCCAGCAGAAAGAGCGAGAACATCAGCTCCAAGTAAAACAAACTCAAAATGCCTCTCGGKTCTGGCCGTGTCGTGTGAAAACCTGCCCGTCCCTCACACCCGCTCTCCTCTAAGATCTGCCGCAGGCTCTGAGAACGCCGGCGCGTCCGAGGTTCAAACGGACCCCAAACAGCTGAGGAAAATACGACAGCAGCAGCTTCAGCAGAAGTTCAGGAAGGAGATGGAGGCCAAGAGGCTGCAGCTGCAACCGGACCGGGTCAAGTCTGAGGAGGAGGAGGAGGTCACTGTTGGACGAAGATCCACCTCAGGTAGAGAGAGAACCGATGAATGAACAATTTATTTAGTTTCTTTATTATATTTAGTTTTATTGTATTAAAATACAGACATGCTAACGTATCTAAACCTTACAAAGAATAAGATGCTTATTGAAAAGTAACATTAAAATGACATAAAATGTTTTTGTACAAATCAGTTTGGTTTTCTGCACCTGGCAGATAATTTGTGTTCACTTTGCAAAATAAAAGCAAGTCTGATTTTAAACACCTTCAGCTTTGTAAAGAACTGTAAACTATTGATGYAAAGTCAAAATAAAGTTGTAGCAGATTAAAAGGAGCAGATTTCATATCAGGTCTGACGAACTGCAAGACTTTCAGTAGGGATGTAAATCAGWTTTATCACAATATGATATTAYGTAATTTTGTTTGGATGATGATACAATATTTCTTGATATCACAAAGTACAAATACTATTTTACTACCATTACACAGGTCTGTAATCAATATTTTGCTATATCTTAAGCACATCTAACAAATGTTAGATGAGCATACACATGGATATTTTTTTTTATTTTGCCCTGATGTCATTAAATCATTTAATGAATTCATCGATATGGATCGATGTATTGTTACACCCATAATTTTTAGTCTATCGAAAAGTATCAGCAGAAGCATCTGGTTTTAATAACTCGGCAATAACGAAACGGTGAATTCAAGAAAGCGGAGTATAAATAATATATTTTTAATGTTTTTAATTCATTCAAAAGAAGCTGCTAAAAACGAGTTCAGCTTGTWGTGTTTCTGCTCCTCAGGTGAAGCCAGAGAGTCTTCAGTCAGCAACGCCTCATCTGAAAACCAGAACTTCAGCAGCGGGGACTCAAATCTCAAAGGTTCGGTGCAACAAACCCACGAGCTTCAGCAGTCAGACAGTTTCCTGACATCTGATTCTCTGCAGACGATCCTGAGATCTGGCAGTTTTTTCTGGACGAGAACGAGGATCTGGATGGACCTGCAGGTGAGGCTTCTTCTAGAGGGGTTCAGCCTGGCACTCCTGGGAACCACCAGATGCAGACGCGCAGTAAGACTCCACAGAGGGACCAGAGCAGACCTCCGGAGGCCCCGTCAAACAGCAGAACCCACAGTCCGTACAGACCGCGCCACCAGAACCATTATCAGGGGAGACATGGTGAGGGTTTTATTTATTTACAATCAGTGACTGAATGAGTGAGCAGCTGAATTTAATCTAAATTTCTGCCTTTCCTCCACCTTCAGGTGAATCCTTCAGTCCGTACAAACAAGGACAACAAATGAAAAAACGCCGTCTCAACAATTGAACTGTATGATCAAACTTTAATTTTACTTTTATTTATTTTGTATTTACTTTAGCATTCATTCTGCACTTAACTGCTGCTATGGAGACTTATAGAAATGTTTTAATGTAAGAATATAAAACTAAGAAGTTGATTTTGTTTTATGAGCAAAATGTTACTTGGTTGTAACAAAAATTCACTTTGTTCAACTGTCTTTAAACACGACAACACCAAAATAAAAGTCTTGTATTTGATATTTTTTATTTGTTTTTACATTTTGTACAATGTGAAAAATACACACAAAACAAGACACGGAATCACAGGAAGTCAGGAGGGATCAGAAATAAGAGTAACTTGTCAGTGGCCTCAAACAACAGTCATGTACGGAGACAGACATCTGAATATTGGAGAATACGGATCTTAATTCTTGTGCTGTACAGTGGCTAGTTGTCAAACGGTCGTCATTCCGAGAATTAAACACCAGTGAAGCTAGCATGCAGAACTTGTTTGCTGATAATTTGATGCTGAAGTTGTGCCTGTGATATTAAAAAAAAAAAGCTGAACATCTTTTAATACTTGGAAAGCAAAAAAAAACAAACTTATTCTGATATCGAAAACCAAAGATGGCAACACCTTATCAGCATGCAGATGTTCAATACTCCTCACTCCTTGTAAAACTTTTAAACATTGCATATTCTGCATTGCAGCAATTCATTTTTTTTCTCTAGAGAAGATAATTCAATCTACAAGCAGGCAAAAAAGAGTCACAACAACAGCATGGCACTCCTGAAAGGTGGTGAGACAACAGCTGAGTCGGCAGGAGGACTTTTGAACCTTTGTACAGCTCACTCTACTCGAACACGTGCTTCTAAGAAACTGCTCAAGAATAAATCCACAAAAACAAATGTCAGCAAAGAAAAAAAATCCTTGTTCCCATGAGTCAAATATATATAAATACACAGCTGATTACACAACCAACACAAATGTAAATGCAGAGAGGAAAAACGGGTTTCCACTTTCCTCAGTGTGCTTTGTTCTGCAGTCCTGGCGTCTGGTTCAGTGTCACATGCTCTGAACTGGCGTTTACTTTGCGTACTGGTTTAGTTACTGGTTATTTTGCTGACTAGATGGATCTGGAACTTATTAGTGAGGATGCAAGGCACTAAAGTGTTCCTCGTGTTTTGCGGAGTGCGTGTGCATTTCGAGTGGGTCACCACAAGCATCTCTAGTGACTGAGAACTATGAAAGCATTTACCTCACTTCAGCATATATTTATATTTATATATATATATACAAAAAAATAGAAAATGGGTGCAGGGCAGTCATAGGACAGCTTAATAAATGGCAGGATTACTCCCGCRTCGTGAGAAGGATATTAATAACAACCCTGCAATTGCACTTTTTTTGTTATATTTCTTTAACATGTTGTTTGACAACCTTTAATAATAATTACAGTGAAACAACATCAAAATCTGATGGCTGAATACAGGTCCATAAAGAACATTGTCTGTTGTATTAAATATATGCGTACAAAAACAGACCACAGACAGAAAACCCCGGACACTTGTGATGTGAGAGGTCACAGTTAAATGTTATTATGGGTAGAAATATTGTGTTGGGAATTCCACAAGTCATAAAACTGWGAAAAAACCCACCAAACTGAAATATTTTAAATACTTTCCCAATGGTTATAATAATTAAATGTTTAATTTAGTTGGATATGATAAGGGAACTCCCTACAGTTCATACCTCACAGTTGAGCATGAAGTGAAGTGGTTTTATGTTTCTATTTGATGGTGTGGACAAAAAAACACCCTGTCCACTCAGTTTGGGAACTTCAGCAGCGTCATCTTGTCAGTTGCAAACAAATGGTGGTCAACACCAAGACCATGCTCTTACATGTGGCAGATCCACTGGCTTATATGTAAATCTGTATGATTTAAAAAAAAAAACGACATCATACTTTCACAGACAAATATGTTAAATACAGAATCATAACCCAATGAAGACAGTTGTATGTACAAAGCCCATGTCTACATGTGTTTGGGGGGGATTAAGGCCACAGTTACAAAAGGGACAGTTTCTCTACTTTACCTTTATTGCGTTTCACTTGATCACTGGGATCTAGTCATACTGCCGACCCTATGAATCCTTCTGCCTAACTTACCAAATCTTTCTTTCTCCCAACGCTATATATCATCTCACGTTTCAGTTTTGGACAGACTATCTGTCCTCAGTCTTATTTCACTTCCTGTACACTCACGTTCTCCCTCACTGAGACAACTTTACCTTCTGTCTTAAGTCGTTCAACCAGGTTAATGTTTAGTCGAATATCTACCACAAAAGCTCAACCAGAATTCAGTCCCTGCTTAGTTTAAAGTCCAGCTCCAGAAGGGTGTAAACCACAAGGCTCTCCTTATCTTCTCTTCAAAAAGGAATGACACAACGTCTGCTTTCAAAAGACACCTTTGGCTGCTTTTGGTTTTGCCTTTTGGTGCAATTCATTACAGGGCACAACCACCCGACCCGTCACAGCTTGTTTCCACAGCTAACGGCAGGATAAGTGTGGAGAGTTTGTGCTGTGGATGATATATTGCACTCTTCTGCCAAATACCAGACAGACTTAATTTTACCTGAGAGGGCTCAAACCACACAGCTCATCTTTACCAGAAATAACACACAATGATAAAAGTTGAAATAAAAAAAAAAAGCACAATACAAAGCCAACTAATTAGCTAAACGCAAAGAGAGGCTGTGGTTTTAAATTAACGACTGTCTAACGTCTCTGCCCCGTATGGTTCTTTGTCTCAGCCGGGAGGAGGACTTGGACTGGACTACGTAGGCCTCGGGTTGGTTCCTCCGTGTCCGGCTGACATCTGGTTGGTTGGTGCTGCCAGGTGGTAGCCATGGTGCATTGAGACGGAGGCCGTTGTGGGCGGCTGGTACTGTTTTAGTGGTTGTGTTGGGTTATGCACGCTGACCTGACACGTGCCTGTGGGTCCTGCCCACTGAGGAGCACCGTAGGAGGCAGGGGCATATCCAAAGCCCTGGGCAACTGGGCCCAGAGAGCCTTTCCGAGGCCCCAGGGGGGCGCTGGGGTTGCCTGGGTTGGGAAGATGAGTGGTAGTGGTGGAGGTACTGTTGGAGGGTGGAGGTGCCGAGCAGAGGTAGCCCGGAGCAGAAAATTTACGACCCATGTTGCCTGGAGGAATAATCTGTAAATTCAAAAGGAAGGATTATTACCAAAATATCAAATATGGAAGCAAAGTTATCAGTTTTATAAATAATGAATGCTTACATCAAGTCCAAGGGCTGCTGGTGCTCCAGATTTAGGCCCCTTCTTGCACTGAGAGAGACTGATGGCATCTCTGGCCCAGTTATCCACTAGCTGGTGCAGGTCGTCAGTAAAGGTGCCCTTACACTTCTGAGTGTGAGCGGCTGAAGAAGCACTGTGGGACAGAGAAGTAGAGACATTCTGACAGCTCGATCCATTCGTGGAGCTGGTTCCGCTCGACCCTGGAAACATAAAATAGAACATATGCAAACAAGAACATAAAAAAAAAGTTATGAAATGTGTAATATAGGAGCTTTAACTTACCGGTGGAGTAACTGCTGAGGCTCGGCAAAGATGGTGAGGATGTGAATTGTTCTGTGGATGTCCTGATCACTGCTGCTTCTGAAGCGTCTGTCACTGAGGACAAACTCTGCTTTGGAGAGGATTCTGGTCCATGACCTCCAGCTGAGGAACAAACATGGGATCAGATCAAACATAAATGTGCTTAAATACTCAGGGAAATAGAAATCTACCACTGACAAAGTAAATTTATTAAAAGGAGATAATACTAACCTGAGTGTATGGGACTGGGCTGTCCACTACTGTGAGATTTGTGGCTTTTGCTTTTGAGCCTACGTCGACCTCCGGGCATGGCCTCAGCAGGAGTACAAACAGACAGAGGGCCGTGTTTTCCCATTCGTCTGTACAGAGCTGCTATCTCCTCTTTCTGTCGAGCCTGCAAGCTCTGAATCTCCCCCATGTGTCTGTGAGAGAAAAACCAGAAACAGTGTCTCAATGTGAAGTAAAGGTGTGTTTTAGCGAAACATGACAAATCTGTGAGAGACACACCTTTCTCTGAGTTTACTTATTTCCTTCTGGAGGGCTTCGTCCTCGGTTTCTGAGTCGTCGTCGTTGTCGTCACTGYTGTAACGGGCATTCTGAGGGTCCGAGGATGAGGGGCCGTTTTGCAAACTGCAGCAATGTGACGGGCTGGAACTTGGTGCAGGAGCAGGAGTCACTGCAGGAAATTAAATAATAATAATAATAATGCATTTTATTTGTTAACTAGATTAGATCAATTTATCAATAAACAAAAATTCCAAGTAGTAGTCTGTATGGGTTTAGAGCATATAGTTCTAGATCAATGTAGAATTTATTACAGGGCACAAAGTGATYTATTTTATATGTGAATGACTTGGTAAATGTGACAGGGCTTTTTAAATGTGTTCTATTTGCAGATACAACATTGGTTTTATATTTTTACTCCCACAAATAAATGTATCCATTTATTTGTGGGAGTAAAAATATAAAACCAATGTTGGAGATGATAYAGAAAGAATTTGAGAAAATATAAACTTGGTTTAAACGTAATAAATTATCATTAAATTTGAAGAAAATGAACTACATGATACTCAGTAATAGAAAGAGAGCTACTGATGTTCCATTTAGGGTTGATGGTGYTGAGATTTGTAGAGTCAATGAGGTGAAGTTTCTGGGTGCTTATTGATGAAAAGCTGACATGGAAATCTCTCATAAATTATTGAAGAACAAAAACAGCTAAATTCAACAATAAAGCACTGTTTATGTTGTATAATAGATGACCCTTTGCTCTCATCAGTACTTTATGCTACCATCTTTGTAGAATATGTTTAATGAGGACTTTCTATGCCACATATATCAGGAGAGTTCAGCTACACCACCACCAGTAAAATTAATGGAGAATTTATAGTGGTACTGAATGTAATAGGAAGAAGTTTTAGTGTAATTTTAGTTAACTAAAAGAAAAGCTTTACATTTGTTTTATTAAAGATGGCTACACACCTGTGACCAAAAACCGTCCCACTTGAGAGCCAGAGGACGGCTCAGATGGAGCGATGCTGGTCTTGGAAACTTGGAAGCGTCCGATATTTGTGGTCTGACCAGATTGAGAAGAGGCTCCATCAGTTTCAATGGATGCTTTAGGTAAAGGCGTCGACTTGTGAAGTGTATTTTCTGGACTCGAGGGTGCAGAGGAAGAGGAGGAGGAGGAGGAGGAGGAGGAGGAGGTGGTTGAAGATAGGGAGGAAGAGGAGGATGGTGTGCAGGATAAAGAAGAGACAGCACTGGGCAGATCTGGAGCACTGCTGGGTCCAACATCAGGTGGAACAGAAGTCTTTAAAAAAGAAAAAAATTATGAGGTTTTAGGAAGTTCAGCTGTTTAAGGCTGGTTTAATTTTATAAAACAATTAAAACTGACTTGATAAGTTTCTGGAGTGAAACCTGCTGCTGGAGGCTGGACACCGTCACCTGGTTGGATAGTTTCTGGACTTAGAGCTCGTCCCAACTGGACGTCCAAATTTCCCTGAAGCTGCTTTTTTTTTTCCACAGAAAGTCAGATTTAAAAAAAGACCTCCACCAGCATATACACACATACACTCCATACATCTAATAATCATTACAAAACAAAAATAACTGAAAACATCAATAAATTTAAATAACTTTGGTTTAAAACCTACTAAAAGTGTAAAAAAAAAGCTTAATAATGTAAAAATTTAAGGCCAAAAGGATGGATTCAAAGTGTTTTACTTATCTTCTGAATTCATAAAGTTTTGGGTAAAAACAAATTTACATTAGAAATAAATCAGAATGTTGAAAAATCTTTGTATAGAATATTTAGTAGTCGGATTTAGCTAGCTGAACAATATTTTAAAAGAATGTTTATAAAACCACAAAAGATGTGTGGAGCATTAAAGTTTCTATTAACTAGAAACTAGTGGAAGTAGTATCATTAGTATTCCTGGCTAAAAACAAAGGACCACAGTTAACAACAGGAGCAAGAGTTCTGCAAGAATTACTTTTACTTCTGGGGTTATCAGAYATTTCACATCATTTCTTGGATGATGACCATCAGCCACATCAGTGGTTTGAATCAAAACCTTCCTGACAGTAACCACAACAAAAATGTTTTTATCTCTGAGAAACCCAAAATGACTTTTRGATGACTGAAACATTTAGAAAACCCACACCGATATTACTTTTATGGTTTTAGAAACATTTTTGCTGGCAGAATTAAAATGGAATGTTTTGATTGATTTTTTAAGATAATTGATGGTTGGTTGTGCAGATTATTTTCACTTTTTAACCTTAATTCACACATTCTGGCAAGAGAATGATTAGATTAGAACATTTTCTCCTCACGTGATCTTATTCTGGAAAAGGTGGAACTGTGAGGACGATGGGGATCTCACCTGATGTGGTCCAGGAAAGGGAGGTGTAGCTTCAGAGGACGGTGTAGCAGCGTGATCAAAATCAGTTGGTAAAGTCTGAAAATAATAAAATTCTAAATATTCACCACTAAAATATGCTGGGTTTATTTATGGGCACCTCACTGTTCACATACCTGTGAGCGGGCCTTTGAGGGAGGAGTCTGGGCATGTCCTGAAGGTGTGGTTGTGGAGCCCAGGACACCTTGTCCTCCAGAACTGAGAGGAAGATTAGATGGGGGCACCACAATGGTTCCAGGAGGAGGGGAGCAGGTTCCAGGAGGGGGTGAGGATGTGCCTGTGTTCTGACTGGGTTCCATCGACACCGAAGAGGTGCTCTGGTCTTTAAAGAGTGACCGTAGCTTCATATCTAAGACCTGGATGTCATCTCCAACTGACTTAGATTGGACCTCAGCCCCCTCGGACTCCACGGGCTGCGGCTGAATCTGGGCCTGACTGGGTAACGAAGTAGGAGGCGGGGCTTGAGAACTGATRGCTGAATTAACAGACTGAGGTGATGTAACAGCACCATTAAAGGGCTGTTGCTCTGTTCCACCACTGCTGGGTGTACCAGACGAGACAGCGGTGCTGTTTGGCTGAGGTCCAGCTACTGAAGGAACACAAGTCTGAGTTGATGGAGGGGAAACCGTGGAGGATGGAGGAGGGATGCTAGTAGATGGTGGAATCTGTGAGTGAGCCGTTTCATGTGAGGTCTGAGCTGGTGGACTAGAATCACTGACTCCAGTGTGGGACTGAACTGAAGGTGGTGAAGGTGAAACCCTTCCAGCTGAAAGAGGCGGTGACGATGTTGCAGCAGATGTGACAGAAACAGGTTGAAATGCGGTGCTAGTGGTGGAAACCACAGCTTCTGGAGGGGAAGGGATACTGGTAGAACTTGGACAAGCGTCTGTGGACGGGATGGTAGACGGCTCTGGCTCAGTAGCAGCGGGCTCCAGTGTGTTGCTTCTGTCAATGCGAGCCTGCCTGACTTTACTGAAAGCTTGCTGGAGACTTCCAGATGGAGCAGAGAGAGAAAGACCCAAAGGAGCTGAAGAACAAAGTTGACAAATTTACTTATTTTACAAAAAAATTAAACATCAAAACAAGTTTAACATCAAACTCCTCTTACCAGACACAGGTTCATCACTGATGGACGTGTTCGCAGAAGAGGCACCAAAGAACTGTTCTCGAAGACGAGACTCTGGGACTGGGCTGACTATGAACTTCCGTCCTGCTGAATGAACCACCTGAGTGGTCGTACTGGGGAATATGCCTGAAGAAATAAACAAACACKGTGTCAATAAGTTAAATGAAAACGGACTGAAAACTGAACACGGTGTAAAGCTTTAGTTTGTTCACCTGGCACCATGGGAACAGTCAGCTCAGGCTGCTTTTGATTGTGAATCTGCAAATGTAGACAGAAACATCTTGAGTGTCAGTAGGTGAGAATAAAACTTTTTAATTTCAGTAATAAGGAGATGAGTTGTAAAGAAATACCTGAGGGAATCCTTCCTTAATCCCCTCTCCTTTCTCATCAGCTGTTTCTATGACCTCCCTGACCTGATCGATGAAAGACTCACGCTCACTCTCCAAGATGAAGCCACTTTCAACCTAAACAAAAAAAAAAAAAAGAGAAGTTTAAAAACAAGAGTACCGGTTGAGGTATGGCCATTTCAGAATGATTATGTCAAATGTAGCTTGAATATATGCTACGCATGAATTCAGGCGACGTGTTTAGTGTTAAAAACAAACAAAAGTAAACATCACTACCATAATCTGTGCAATCTCCTCTGGGTTATCGCCATCAAGATCAAATTTGAAGGTCACCATCTTCCTGTTGTGCGTTTCCAGCTGGCACTCTGCTACTCTGTCTCCCACATTAGAAATCTGCAAAATATTTATCATCATCACCATCAAACGTTATTTATAAAGCACTATAACATCAGCCACTGCTGAAACAAAGTGCTGAACACATGAAATAAAAACTCAATACAAAAACACAATAAAACCACACAGTTAAATAAGTAAAATCAGCACCAATACAGTAAAAGTTGAGTGAAATCAAATCTCAGTTGGGTTGAAGGCCAGTGAGAAAAAACAAGTTTTTAAACGAGTTTTAAAAATGGACAGTGAAGGGGTCTGTCAGACMTGCAAGGGCAAGGCAGTTTAGGGGCACGAACAGAGAAGGTCCTATCTCCTCTGAGCTTCTGTTTGGAACTGGGAATGACCAGGAGCAACTGGTCAGCAGACCTGAGTGACCGAGGAGGAGCGTAACGGTGAAGAAGCTCTGTTAAATAGGATGGGGAGAGGCTGTTTAAAGCCTTAAAAACAAACAGAAGGATTTTAAAATGAACTCGAAGACACACAGGCAGCCAGTGGAGGGAAGCCAGGACMGGGGTGATGTGCTCTCTTCTATGTTTTCCTGAAAGAATAGATTTTATCTTTGCTATTTTTCCTCAAGTGATAAAAACTAGACTTAACTGTAGCCCTTATTTGACTATCAAGCTTAAAATCACTGTCCATCTTATCAAAGTTTGTAGCTGTGAGCTTGACATACATTGCCAGGGGTTCTAAATGCACTGCAGGGCTCGGCTATGCTCCACTAGGTTCAAAAACAAGTATCTCGGTCTTTTTTTTCATTAAAATGCAAGAAATTTAGGGCCATCCAGGCTTTAAGATCATCGAGACATGCTAAAAGAGGTTTAATGGACCAAGCCTCAACTCGCCTTAGAGGTACATAGATTTGGCCGTCGTCAGTGTAGCAATGAAAGGAGATGCCATGTTTTCTAAAAATTGAAGCTAAAGGCAGGAGGTACAGAGAAAAAAGCAAAGGCCCTAAAATTGAGCCCTGGGGAACCCCACATGACAGAGGAGCAGAAAAGGATTCAAACCCTGCAACTTTTACGGAAAATGTTCTGTTTGCCAGATAGGACCTTAGCCACTCCAGAGCAGTGACGCTGATGCCTACTTAGAGCTGTAGATGCATCAACAAAATGCTGTGGTCTACTGTATCAAATGCAGTGGTTAAGTCCAGTAAAACAACATTTAGGAAAAAACTGTTAAATATGAACATCAAGTGCAGATTTAATAGAAAATGTAAGAATAAGTGCATACACTGAGAACATTTAGCTTGGCCCTGGTGGTCTTGTCATGGCGAGAGCGGCTGCGGACAGATCTTCGCTGCTGGCGCTTCATCGAGCGTCCCTCGTGGCGACCCCCAGACATAGAACTCCCTTCATTGCCATCGCTAAGACCTGAAGCTGTGTCTGATAGGCAGCTGGAACAAACACAGATTGTGTGATTTAATGTAGCTCAAATTCTATTAAAAAAAAAAAAGGCAACAATAAGGACCGTCATACCTTTCTGCAGACGGTGGTGCCAACACAGAGGACACTGCTGGCTGCTCCACTGGTGTTGAAAGAGGAATAGTCACAGAACCCTGAAACACAAAGACAAAAACTTTAAATAAGAATCTCATCTTAAAGGAGATTTGAACATCATATCATTTGCATTCATTGCTTCCATTCTGTTGGTTTTGTTCTGCTCATTCATAACAATGATTTATAGTAAATCAACATATCCTGTTCATATCAACCACCAGGTGGAGCTGAGTAACAGGGAGGAGACGCCATTATTCAGCTGTAAGGCGGAGCTTTAATACTGCTGGACAATGGAGTTTCATTTCTTTTAGATTTTAGTTTATATTTATTGCTGTGCTCATATGGAAATCAGATAATGATATAATAATAATAATAATAATAATAATAATAATAATAATAATAATAATATGTTCTATTATTATTCTAAAAGAATCAACCTCTGGACTTGTATGTAGCTGTAAGCAAAACGATACATCTAAAATAAAATGTCTTTCAAAACTGCATCCAAAGCTGCTTTGCTCCTCTAAGCTAACTTTTGGTCCAAATCTTCAAATTCTTGCAAATTTGAAAATGTTTTGTTCTGATTAAAGAGGGGACTATTATCCTAATGTTCAACACAAAAATTTTAGCTAAAAGCTAAAATTATTTTCTTCAAGCACAACCACACACAAACTTCTAAGAACAGGAACTGTGTAAGACGGAGGAAAACAACCCGACATGCTACCACCCACATGACTTGTCTTGTGCTCTGCAGAATACCTGCACAACAGAGAGGCATGAGGCCTGATAGAGGAAGTAAAGATGCTCTGCGTTGATTGGTGGAGACATGATGGGAGGACTTGGATCATTGGCCCAAGACTAGGAGTCATACAAGGATAAGCAGCATGCAGAAAAAAAAGGTGAAAGATAAAAAAGAAGACAGACAAAAGTGTTGTATGTTCAGAAAAATGAGAAAAGAAATTTCAACATGAACAAGAACAACATGGTATTAATCTGGTTAAGCCAAGCAGAAAGAACTATGACTTAAAGCCACAATGATTAGAAAAAATGACAACAAGCCCAGCTTAGGGAACAAACATCAACATTTTGTTCTGAAGTACCTGATGCTAAAACACAAGATAAATAGTCAGAGATCTTTTAGTTCTTGTTGATAATAAGGAGGGGTCTTAGAGATTTGAGCTGAATGTCTAAGTGCAGTTTTTTTTTTTTACCTCAGCAGAAAAAAACTCTGACAATGAGCTGTTATTCAGTTTTCTTCATTCAGACATTGGTCTGTTATGGCAGATGTATGTATAAATTACAGAATTAGGCGTCAAAGTAAAATTAAAACCATTTGCATGTAGATTAAGAGGAAGTCTGTATACCTGCAGCTGCTGAGCTCCGAGCTGAGACTGTGGCTGTGAACTGCTGCTCTCTGGCTGCTGCTGCTGTGGGACAGACGGCGGAGAGGTTTGAGCCATCACAACTTGCTGAGAGGGAATCTATAAGAATAAAAATGAATAAACGTAATCAGGCAATTGTTAWAACTCAAAATGAAGAATGCAGAAATACTGGTATGTAGGTCACTTTGTGAGAGGCTGGATTCTTTCTAATCTGCAGCACATCTGCTCCTTAGGTGCTCTTCTTGAGTCAACATGCACTTACCTGCTGGACAACATTGCATCACAAAGTTCATCTACCCGAAACTGTACTAAATGCACTCCTCAGCAAAAACCTAATCAACATTTTGTACAAATGTAATCTATAATCTAATCCACACTATGTGTAAATTKTAGATTCCATAGACCGTAATGGGTAAGTCAAAAGTTACTATTATACAAATCAGTGCAGATAATTTGCTGTTTAGAAAATACTTCTCTACACTGATCCTGTGTTAAAAGACTAAAGCAGAATAATGGGACATCTACCTGAGGGGGAGGTGACGGTTGGTAGTAAACTCCGTACTATAAGAAACAAAACAGCACAGGGTAAGAGTAGTAAACTAAACAAGGACAGCTAAGTGACCAGAATGGGAGGACAAGACAACTAGAAAACTAGAAACCTAATGCGAAACACAATTTCCTAAAGCAGAGAATCTGCACTTCATGAAATAAAAACTATTTGAGGGGAAAAAAGGGAACTGTGCTGAATGATAACAGTACATATTTGCAGCAGTGATATTCAAGTATTTTTGTGTTCATTACATTATTAAAAGCCAAGATTGTTTTCTGCCATATATTTGACATCAGTGGAAGACAGTGAAATAATCATTTTCATATGGTGTAGGATTAATAAACATCATAACATGCAACACAAATACCTGTGAAGGTGCTCCTGCAACAGACTGAGCAGAGACAACCTCAGGCTGAACACCTTGCATCTGTGAAGAGGAAACAGAAAAACAAATGAGATGACAAACAAATATGAAAACCAAAGAAGCACAGATGCTTTTATTGCCAACATGAACTGGTATGTCAGGTTGGATGATTTCATAAACAGTATTTTAAATTTTCATCAGGTTGAACTAATGTCTGCAAAGGGAGAGTTGTTTTCAGATATCATTTGAGGGTTTTTTCTTATAAACATTTTACAAGTATTTTTGTAATGGCAGCTGTGGGACTGATCTTGTTTGTTCAAACAGTCAAAGTACAGTTACAGCTACCAGTAATGTTCTTTCCTCATGCTAGGAAAGTTTCTATTTTAAACCAGAAGCTACAAACAGTGGTTCTATGAACTACAACTGGATGGATTTCCTGTAAATGCAAAAGAACAGACTCCAATGATTTTGAGAACTAGAAAATATTTTAGAAATCCAAAACCACTCATTAAAGTACATTCAGTTTTCTCACCACTTGTAGTTGCGTTGGCTCATTTGGCATCTGTGAGCATGGCACCTGTGGCTGAAGATGCTGACTGGTTGAATTGTAGGATACTCCTGGCTGAGGAGGCAGGACTTCGGGAACGACAGAAGAACCAGGTAATCTGTCTCCAATGTCCCAAGCTGTAACAGGGGACAAAAAGATGAACAGATTTGTAACCTCAAGTTTGCAGAAACAAAAAAGAAAGTACAGTAAGTGTGTGTGTGTGTGTGTGTGTG